ACCTGCATATGCATAGACTCTTGGATGTCCGCCCGGACTTCTCAGATCGGCGTTGAGCTGGACCCTTTCTCCCCTGGCGCGCGGTCCAACGCCGACCCAGGAAATCCACGCGGGCCTCCGGAAATTTATGCTATGAGGAGAACAATGACGACCAAGACTGAAAGCGAAAACGTCATGGCCAATCTTGATAATTGCCTATTCGTGGATCAGCTTCGCGAGTCGGCGACGGCGGGTATTGACCATGACCAAGATTGGCGTCGACAAAATCCCTCGACGTCGTAGAGTACTTGATCTGACACAGATGAACCCGCGGGGAGAGGAGCAAAAACGTGTTTGTAAGCGTTCGTGACTGGATGTAACAGATCTGCGCGCTGGATGCAATCGCTGCGCCTGCATGCGGTGGTGCATTGTTGTCACACGCGCTGGCTGTTGCCCGTGCATTAGTTCCTACCCCCCTCCCTCAGAATTGATGTGTACGCTTGTACGCACCAGCACACCATGTGAGAGGGATGGCCGCACCACTGGGCCAGTCTGCTATACCAAACCCCTGGGAGATAGAGCCTGCGCTCTGCGTCGGGATTCCCCCCAGAGACGCGTGCGCCCCAAGGGCAGCGCACAGCGAGGTGAGAGGAGGCTGGATGTCGGTGCTGCCACCGGCCAGGCCTGCACCACCTTCCACACACCGTGAACGAGCGATTGGACCTCTCACCGACGACCCATCTGCACCAGACCCTGCCACTCCATCTCCGCTCATCGTGTTTCTTCCCGCGAGAGGGCGGCGACCACGACGCCCGACGGGGCCACGAGGAGCGGCCCGTTCCCGGCCCGGCTCGACCACGACGACGGCGCGGCGAGGGAGCTCGCGCGCTCACTGTCGGGTGGGCTCGCCTCCAAAGGGCTGCCCGCCACTCCACACCTCTCTTCTCGTGATCCCTCTTCTCCCCGCACAGCGTTTCGGTGGAGGGTTCCGATGGGTGCCCCAGCAAGTCGCCGAAAAGTGTCCCCCCCGCGGTGGACGAGGAGCTCGGGCAGTCTCCATAGATCGCCCGGTCCGGAAGCCGATGCGCCTGAGACCCCCTCACAATCTCTATTCAATAAGCGTGGCCTCGCATCAATGCTGGCTGCATTTTTGGTCCCGACGGCCCTGATCCCTTGGAAACAAAAACTAAGGTGCAAATAACCGTGCTCTCGCACGTGTACCCTATAGCAGACCTACTCGACCTGCCTCTTCACCTTTGCTGCTGTTTGAATGGTTTACTGTGTGTTGTTGTTTCTGTGTCTCTCTCTCTCTCTCGCTCTCTCTCTCTCTCTATGTATATCGTTCTCTCTCTCTCCCTCCCTCTCTCTTTCACGACTCATGCAATAAGCCATCTGGCTAACGAAGATAACAGAGCCTCTCCTCGAGACTACACAGCAGTTGAACCCTGGTCGATGCTGCAATGACAGACTGGCGAGAGAGTCTGTGGGGATAACTACTTCCAGCAACGCCCCTCCTCCGCCTCCTCCTCCTCCTCCTGCGTCTCCTTCTCCTGCTTCTCCTTCTCCTCCTCCTCGTCCTGCTTCTCCTTCTCCTTCTCCTGCTTCTGCTTCTGCTGAGCTTCGCCCCCGATCCTCGGAGGTCGAGGAGAGCCATCCCTGGACGCTCTCGGGCTGCTCCTGCCCGCTTTCGGCCCTCCTCGAAGCTGCCAGAGGCCCCTGGAGGTCTCTGGCAGAGGAAGATAAACAGCATACCGTCATCGGCCTGACCTAAGGAACGATAAATAAGGAACGAAGCCCCTTTTGTCTCCAGGGAGTAACGCATAAGGAACGATAACTAATCAATAACGTATACGGGACGATGAATAACGCATGGGGCCCCTTTTGAAAAGTTTGTGCTCCTTGTTCAAGCCGCTCACTGTAAACCAGAACCTTCGAAGGTCCGCGCGGAATTCTGGATCCGCCCTGGACCGTCCTCCCTGGCGCGCGCAGCGCGCCAGGGGCGGCGCCTGAGGCGCCGACCCAACACAAATCCGCGCGGACCTGCGCGGCTTCCCCAAGCCGGCAGCTCCGCGGAGCACGCGCCGGGCACAGCCGGCGGCGCGGCTGCAGACGCACCCGGGGGTCCCGAAGCAGTGCGGCGGCAGTCCGTGTGGTGACCTTGGAGCCCCCAGCAATCGCACGCCACGGTCCGTTGCCGCAGGGCTTGGGGCCCAACGGCCCGAGTCCCAAAGCCATTCGGTCACCGGGCTCAGCACATGGTTGGTCACTGCACCGTCTGGGGGCCCACGACGCGTGCCCGTGGAGCGATCCGTCGTTCAGGAGTGCGCAGAAGCACGAAGCAGGAAGGCGTCGAGAGTAGACTGAGCTGCGGCCCCTCCTCTGAGCTGCAGGGAAGTATAAAGGCCTTTCAGTTCTTGAAGTAGGAGGGCGCTTGAATCACATTGGAGCTTAGACGAAAAGTACTATATAACACAGCACGCCTCATACAATCTCTCCAGGGTCGGCGCGACTTATTGGATCC